TGCACGAGGAGATCTGGCTGCGCCGCCCTCCTGGCTTCACTGGGTCGGTTCCTCCTGGCACCCAGTGGAGGCTTCAGCGGCCGGTCTACGGTCTCCGCCAGGCGCCACGTGAGTGGCACGACACACTGAGGACGACACTTGCGGCTCTTGGGTTTGCTCCCTCTACTGCTGACCCGTCGCTGTTTCTACGCACCGACACCTTGCTGCCGCCGTTCTACATCCTCGTGTACGTCGACGACTTGGTCTTTGCCACTGCTGACACCGCGGCACTCGCCCACGTGAAGTCGGAGCTGCAGAGGAGACACACGTGCACAGACCTGGGTGAGCTGACGAGCTATCTTGGCTTGCGGATCACCCGGGACAGAGCACGGCGCACCATCACCTTGACTCAGTCACACATGGTGCAGCAGGTTCTCCAGCGCTTCCGCTTCACGTACTCCTCGCCTCAGTCCACTCCTCTGCCTACCGGTCACTCGCTCTCAGCTCTGCCTTCGGATGAGTCCGTAGAGCCGAGTGGCCCGTATCCAGAGCTTGTGGGCTGCCTCATGTACCTGATGACCTGCACTCGACCTGACCTTGCATACCCTCTTAGCATCCTTGCACGCTATGTCGCTCCTGGCCGTCACCGGAAGGAGCACATGGATGCTGCTAAGAGGGTGTTGCGCTACTTGTGCAGTACGTCGGGCATGGGGCTTGTGCTTGGAGGGCGAGACCGGGTTGTTCTCACAGGGCACTCAGACGCTTCTTGGGCGGACGACCAGGCTACTCAGCGGTCGTCCCAGGGTTACACCTTCAGCCTTGGCTCTGGCTCAGTTTCTTGGCGTTCTACTCGCTCTTCTTCTGTTCTCAGCTCCAGTTGTGAGGCTGAGATCTACGCCACAGCCATGGCTGCTCAGGAGCTACGCTGGCTGACCTACCTGCTGACCGACCTCGGAGAGCAGCCTCGTTCTCCTCCAGTGCTGTACGTCGACAACAAGGCTGCCATTGCCTTGTATGAGGAGCACAGACTGGAGCACAGAACGAAGCACATCGCTCTGCGGTACTTCCTTGCTCGAGAGCTGCAGCAGCGTGGTCAGCTTTGTCTGCGTTACGTGGCCACGGAGGCCAACACTGCTGATGTGTTCACCAAGGCGCTTCAGCCTTGTGACCATCAGCGCTTTTGCACTCTGCTAGGCCTTGTACCTACTGGGCCTCACTTGCTTACCTCTTGACCTTGCTTGTACTGTGATCACTATATATATATATATATATATACCTGCATGTTTACTTTTGCTAGGTTGTGATCACTGTATCTCTTGCTCTATTATAAACCTGCATGTGAACTGGTCTTGTGACCACTTGCTTGTGCTCGGAATTTGTGTGGAATCCTTGAGATCCACCCCGAGCTTGTTGTTGCCTTGCTTTGTCTTGACTGGTCTTGTGACCCCTAGGTCTCCCCCACTTTGCCTATGGGGGTGTGTCAAAACATTGTCTGTTTATATGATTGTAGGCTGTAGTGGGTTACACCTTAGGGGGTACACTGGATTAGGGTTTCCTATTTGTACTGCCTTCTCTGTTAGTTCAGCCATTCCAGTCTCGTAATCTTGACAATCTTTGCGTCCATGGCTGTCTGCCACTGGGAGGAGTACGGACACGCGATCGCCTCAGCGTAAGAGCGCGGGGTCGGGATGTTTGGTGCATCCGGGTCTCCCTCAGGGGCAAGTAGCATGGCCACGAGATGAGGCGCAGCGGCTGCAAGACACTCAAAGTCCTCTTGCCTGTCCTCAAGAACATCTGTGTTAAGAGCACACTCACCCCCGACGGACGGAGGACAGACAGACTCAGACTCAGCAACAAGACTAGGGCGTAGTCTAGACGACAAGCAGCAGCAAAGTCAACAAGCTCAGCAAAGTCAAAGGCAGACGCAGCAGCAGGCTCAAACGATGGGTTAGTGACAACAGTTGCTAACAGACGCGTGGCAGTAGGGTGGGCAGCACGAAATAGGTCAGACTCAGGGTCCGGAACATCAGGCAAAGAAGACGCAGGAGGAGACGGCAGGGGAACACGCTGTGGAGCAGAGGAAGGACGAAGTGCCATGGTGTGCGTGCCGGGGACAGGAGGCGGACGCTCACAAGGAACACGACGACCATTGCGACGAGCACGAATAGGCGAGGCAGGACGAGACGCAGGCTCACGACGCTTTGTAAGACCTCCTGTCTGCTCAGTGTAAGGAGAAGGAGCAGGCAGTGGTGAGCCCGGCTTTAACGGGAGGCTAGTAGAATTCAGGAGGGTAAGAACCTGGCGAAGTACGGAGTCAGGTGGTGGCGGAGACGACAGCGACGGTGGAGCGAAGAACAGTCGCAGCAGTGCAGTATCACCAGCACCAGTACCAGCAGCAGCCCCAGCGCCTCCAACGCCAGCACCCCCAGCTCCAGCGCCACCAGCAGCAGCACCCCCAAAACCGGCACCTCCAGCCCCAGGGTCCACAGCACCAGCTCCAGGGCCTCCAGCTCCGCTACCTCCAGTAGCAGCACCCCCAGAACCGGCACCTCCAGCTCCGGGGTCTCCAACTCCAGAGTCGACAACACCGGCTCCAAAGTCTCCAGCTCCAGTGCCTCCAGCAATAGCACCCCCAGAACCAGTACCTCAGGCCCAGGGTCTCCACCTCCAGGGTAGTCAGCACTAGCTCCAGGGCCTCCAGCTCAAGTGTCTCCAGCAGGAGCACCCCCAGAACTCGCACTTCCTGCCTAGGGTCTCCAACTCCAGGGTCGACAGCACCAGCTCCTGAGCCTCCAGCTCTAGTACCTCCAGCAGTAGCACCAATAGTCCTGGCAGCTCCAGGACCTCCAGTACGAGCACCTCCGGGACCAGCGGCTCTTGCACCTTCAGTAGCCCTAGCGCCTCCGGCTTCAGCAGCTTCACCAAGGAGGCTCCAGCGCTGAGCAAACCACTCGCGCAGCTAAAGTGGAGAGAGAGGCTCCCGCCGGGACGAGGCACCCGGAGGACCTCCAGTAGGCAAAGTACCTCCAGGCGCAGCACGCTCCGGTGCAGTACCCTCAGGCTCAGCACCCCCAGGCTCCGCACCCCCATGCTTAGCACCCGTAGGCTCCGCACACTCAGGCTAAGCATCCTTAGGCTCCGCACCCTTAGACTCAGCAACCACAGGTTCAGCACCCCCAGACTCCGCACCCTCTAGTACCTCACGAACAGGCTCAGCACCCCTAGACGCAGTACCACGAGCAACACCACCCGCAGCAGCACCTGAGTCGCTAGTGACCTCTACAGGCTCAGCCAAGGGGAGTGGGTCTACCTGAGACACAAAGAAGGAGCAGGACCCTGAGGGGGGAGGGGGTCTACCAGAGGGGGACCTGGAGCGAGGAAAAGCGGCGGGGGAGGGAGAGGCGCACTGAGGTAGGGAAAGAGACAATAAAAGGGAACCGACTCGTCAAACGTGGCGTCCCGAGAAGGGAAGACACGGCGCGAGGTGGGGTGGTAAAACTGCCAGCCAGGCGCATCAGGGACAAAGCCAAGGAAGACACAGGGAATGGTGCGGGAGGAGAGCTTGTCCGTGGACGTATCGCGGACAAAGGTACGAGCACCCCAGACCCGAAACCGGGACGCATCGCCAACCTCTCCCGTCCAACGCAGTGTGGGCGAGGTCTCTGGCAAGGAGACACGGGGCCAGAGGTTGAGCTGATGTGCAGCGTACCGGACCGCAAACGGCCATAGAAAATGGGGAGCCGCCGCGTGAATGGATCAAGGAGGTACGAGCGATCTCCATGACCAAGCCAATGCGGCGCTCAGCAACCCCATTTTGCTGCGGTGAGCCCGGAAGCGTGAACGACTTGATGATGCCCTCCCCCTTGACATTAGGCCCGCAAGAGGTTGGAGGAGAACTCACCACCTCTGTCAGAGTGCAGACGAAGGACAGGAAGGTCCGTCTGGAACCGGCGACGGAGCTGGAGACGAACTGCTCGGATCCAAGGGATCAAAACAGCAGGGACCTCACCCTTGGTGCGCAAGGGGAAGACCGTGGTGTAACACGAGTAGTTGTCCACAACCAGCAGAAAGTACCGCTCGCCGCCCTGTCCACGAACGCGGGCTGGGCCCCACACATCCATGTGGAGGGTCTGCAGAGGAGCCTCTGTCGGGGGAAACGAGGAGGAGTGAGGAGCGGTGCGCTGCCGCCCCTCGACACAGGGAAGGCAGGGCGGTGCAAGCGAGGCTGGGAGGGGAGGGAGAGACCTGGGAAGACCAGACACAAGGAGGCGACGGTGCATGCCACGGAGACGTGGCAAGGAGGGGTGACCCAGACGGTGGTGCCAGAGAAGAGTCTGGTGCGACAGGGAGCGACACTGACAAGGGGAGGCTACCAGACCTGACGCAGACACCTGTCCAATAGCAGCTACCTGAGGAGGCGCAGTCGTCAATGTGTAAAGACTCGACCCTGGCCGACGGGTAAACGTGGCCAGGTGGCGGCCGGTCTTGGAGCACGTACAGATCGCCACACACTGTCTTTCAGGGGTAAAGGTGTCAACCGACTGGTCCTGGAGAACTGCGTTGCTCACGAATTTCGTAGTGAATGAGGGGAGGTGAAGACCTGACAGTGAGCCAGACGGAACCGCCGGGCACGGAAGCACAGTGGTGGACCGTGCAAGAACTGGGCCCCCTGAGGGGTCAGCCAGTGAGACTGCAACAGGTGCAGTGAGTGGTGTGAGTGCAGTAGTGTCGCGAAAGAAACAGTGGGAAGCACCTGAGTCAAGTGTGAAAGTGTGCAAGGCCTCAGCAGGCGCAGTACCTGAGTGAGGACTCACTAGAACCTAGGGCAGCAGCCCCTATACCTGGGTCTGGCTGCATACACAAGTAACAGTCACCCTGAGCACTAACAGTCAATGCATACATGGCAACAAGGATAGCATCATAATCAAGAGCAAAGATATATCTACGCCCATCTTAAGAAGCTCTACCTAGCGGGGGAGCTCAGCGGCGTCAGTAAACTGTGCACGGAAGGGGTCTGTAAGATGAGAGAAGCAGCGGTACTGAGTGTGAAGCTTCCCGCATGGCTGACCCTTGCAGTCACCTGTGCGCATGACATACAGGCAAGGACCATTACACCCAGCCGTCCCACGTTGGGCAAACCACTCACGAAGCTCCTGAGGCAAAAGGGTCGGACGCTACTGCTGCTGCCTCAGACCGCCGCCAAGGCCTCCCCTCTTGCTAGTACCACCCCGGCCGCCACCACTGCCGTTGCCTGCACTCCCACTGCCTCCACTACCACCGCCACCACCATCCCCACCTCCGCCACCACCACCACCACCTGCACCCCCACCACCACCTCCACCCTCTCCGCCACTGCCGCCTCCTCAACCGTCGCCACCACCCCCACCACCGCCTCCTCCTCTGCCACCCCCACCGCCCCTGCCTTCCCTGCCCCTGCCATTGCGGCGCCTCCCACTAGGGGCAGACGTTGCTCCCACCTCCTCAGCACGAAGGTAGTCAGCAGCTGCGGCAGAGGTGATGAACGGAAGAAGGGGGGAGGGCGAGCATCCCTCAAAGAAGGGTGTGCGAGGAGTGCCACGAGAAGCACCTACAGCGACTATGCTAGCCTCAGCTGCAAGGAGGTGCTTCTCGAGCAGGTCGACAGTGAGGTCTGTGGGTTCTTTGGCAAGAAGGAGTTCTCTGACAGCGTGAAGAGAGCCAGGGAGGCGGGTGATGATGAAGTAGAGGGTGATGTACATGGGAGGAGGGTTCTTGGTGAGAAACTCGGCAGGAAGCGCGGCTCGGTAGCGGACGGCACTAGTACGAAGGTGAGTGACGAGGTCGGCTATTGTGGGAAAGGCGGACGGTTCTGGGAACAGGTAGGGCAGTAGGAGGCGGCCTAGAGCAGGAGTAGCCGGGGAGGAATAACGAGCGACTACTGTGTCATACAAGACTTTAGCAGTCTTGTGCTGGCCAAAGTGCGCTGGCACGCTCGGTTAACGGCATGTGATTGCGAATGGCCAGGCGAGCAGTAGCGTCACGGGTAAGCCACTGTGAGCGAGCTGTACTGTCGGCTGTGTCGGCAGGGGGAGGACAGGCTCCAGACGTGAGGTCAAACAGTGAGATGCTGTCCTTAGAGTCGCTCAGTAAAAACAACTGTAAGTAATCAAGCCAGGACTGGAATTCTATCTGGCGGCCCTCCGGATCGAAGGTGAGAACGCTGAGAGTCGCCATAGCAGGCAGAGCAGGCGAGCGCCGTAGCAGCAGGGCAGGGCAGGGCACTCAGCGATTGGCGGCTCGCTGGCAAGGCAGGGCACACGGCAGTAAGGGGCGCAGTGGCAGGGCAAGGCGCGCGGCGGTGCTTGGTGCACGGGCAGGGCAGGGCGCGCGTGTTGTTCAGGATCCGTCACTTCGAGAAGCTACGACGAACTCATTACTCAACTAAACGCAAATCCGCTCAACAGGATGTTGCGCCTTAGGCTTAGGTACCACCTCCAATTTGAATCACTTAGAAAGATGGTCTAGAGAGTGAGAACCAAGTAAAAACGTCCAGCAGCCGCATGACTAGAATGATGGAGAAAGTACAAGCATGAAGCATAGAAAGTTGGAGTTGGGGACCTCCAAGAGAACCATGAGAGGGAAGGGGTTCTCCAAGAGCTAGGGAAGGATGGTAGGAACCTTCCTAGCAGCAAGGATGCAACCCTCATCATGAGGTCCTTGAGGTGTCACATGCAAAATCCAATCTAGTTGGATTTTGCCTAGGTGTTGCAACATTTGCAACCCATGCTAGAAACTTCTAGCCACCCCAATCCAAAAGTCAAAGTTGCCTTCCTAACCACCCAACCAAAGATCCCTTTATAGTCATGTCCCAATAACCGCCCAAATTAGATATAACCCCAAAAGGTAATAAGAAATCCAAATCTTGGAAATCTTGTAACTTGGGCGATCTTGGTCGGAATAAGGCGATCTTGGTATCGTTGGAAAGCTCTGAATTTCTCCTGCATGATCAAGCATGTAGACTTGGAGAAAACACAGAGATGATAATATCCAACAGCCATGCACAATGACATATGCTCATGCAAACAATGCACGCATGAATAGCACGAGCACTCGGCAGGACGTTAGGATGACATGCACTCAAAATGACGTGCATCCAACAGCGCGGCGGCGGGCGGCGCGTGGGTACGGCAGGCGCGCGGCTTACGGGCGGCGCAGTGCGCGGGGCACGGCGGCGGCGCACGGGCAGGGCAGTGCGCGGCTGTGGCGGGCGATGCACGGGCAAGGCACGCGCGGCAACGGGCTGCGCGCAGTGACGGCTGCGCACGTGCAAGGCAGGGTGCTCAGCGGCGAGTGCGCGGCATGCTGGTAAGGCAGTGCGCGCGGCGGCGATCAGCGCGCGACGCGCGAGTAGGCCAGGGCGCGCGGCTGAAAGCAGCGCGCGGGCAGGGCAAGGCAGGGCGTACGCGGCAGCGCAACGCAGGGCAAGGTAGGGCAACAGTAGCAGGCGCAACTCGTGGGGTAGCGCGGTACGGTGGGCCCTAAGAAAACGGTCCTAGGCCAGGACCTGCTCTGATACCATGTTAGAAACTAGCCGCAGGAATGAATGAACTATGGATGACTTTGGTACAAATAGAAACCCTAAAGGGGTTGTACCCCATATTGGCTACCCTACTACAGCCTACACAATAGTACATATATAGTCTAAGAGTACTAGCTACTATAAGTTAGGTAGGAGAATGAATGATGATTAGGGTAAAGGGAGGGATACAAGAAGACTATCGAGAGAGTTTGTGTACCCCCTAGAGAGCAACTCACAGAAGCCTATTCAAATCTATATAACTTAGTTTGACACACCCCCATAGGCTAAGTGAGGGGCATTAACACAAGCAAACCAAACAAATGGTCACAAGACCAGTCAAGAAGATGATGCTTAGGGTGGATTACAATGCCACCGCACAGTCTGAGCACAAGCAAGCGGCCACAAGGCCAGTTCAAGAGTACATATGTAAATAAATAAATGCAAGGACGAATAGAGTAACAAACAAAAAGGCAAAACTACAGCAATCGAGGGCCTACGTCAACAGAGCCTAACTGCAGACAGAACCTGTGGTGATCATCAGGCGGAAGAGCCTTGGTGAAGATGTCTACAATGTCGGCCTCTGACTCCACGAAGTCCAAGCGGGCATGGCCGCGTTGCTGCTACTCTCGCAGAAGAAAGTATCTGACGCTGATGTGCTTCACTCTACTCTCCAGTCGGAGCTCTCGACACAGGAGTCTAATGGCCTTGTTGCCAGCGAACAAGGTCGGTGCAGAGCTCGGCCACTCACCAAGGTCGGTGAGCAAGAAAGTCAAGCAACGAAGCTTCTGCGCAGCCATGGCACCGGCGTAAATATCTGCCTCTGCAGTGGACGAAGCCATAGACGACGACCGTGTGGACCTCCACGACACAGCTTTAGCGCCCAAGCTGAAGAAGTACCCCTGAGTAGACCACTTGGTCTCCACGTCGTCGGCGTAGGAAGAGTCGCAGCGACCAGTCAGCACAACTGGCTGTGTCCCTCCAAGCACAAGCCCCATGCCTGACGTAGTCGGCAGGTGTGTCGCCACCCTCATAGCAGCTGTCCAGAAAACAGGACAATGTCTCCCAGTCGCAACAAAGCGAGAGAGGATACTGAGGGGAAAGGCGAGGTCCGGGCGTGTACAAGTCATCAGGTACATGAGGCAGCCCATAAGCTCTGCGTAAGGGACACAAGTCACCACTAGACTCAAAGGGCTCGTCGTGAAAAGGGCCGGTGAGTTTGCGGTCAACGGCAAGAGGAGTGGGCTGTGTGGTGGAGAACTGAAACCCGAACCGCCGAAAGACCTGCTCCACGATGCGTGACTGAGTCAGAGTGATGGTGCGAGCGGCTCTGTCCCTGGTGATCTGCAAGCCAAGGTAGCGGCGCAGCTCACCAAGGTCAGTGCACGTATGTCTATTCTGCAGTTCGGATTTCACCTCAGCCAGAGCGACCCTGTCTGCTGTAGCGAAGACCAAGTCGTCGACGTACACAAGAATGAAGAAAGGTGTGGGCCCATAACGAACGAACATCGACGGGTCAGCGGACGAAGGACGAAACTCGAGAGCGGCAAAATTAGAGCTCCTGACGTAGGCCAAGGACCGGGAGGGGCCCTAGACGTCCAAGTGGAGGGTATGTAAATGAGCGGTGGTGGGTGAGAACGATGAGTGAGGGCAATGCTCTGCCGACCCTCGATGCAAAGAGTGCATGGCGGCGCATGCGAGCGGGGAAGCGGGGCGAGCGACGCTGGGAGGCCTGAGACCAAACAGTGACGCACAATCCTATTGAGACGCTGGAAGGATAGGTGACCTAGACGATGGTGCCAGAGGACCGATGGGTGGGTGAGTGACCGACACTCGCATGACAGAGCAGCTACCTGACCTGACCTGACCTGACCTAACCCAATTTGGTGGAACCCAGTATGTAGGGAGCACAGACCGGAGCCTGGCTCCCTATGAAAAGCGGCCAAGGCGCTCCAGTGGCACCAATTGTGTAGAAGGCAACAGACTCGTCTAGTGGGAAATTAGTGAATACACCTAGGTTGTGGCACCCACCAGGGATTTCGAGAATGAGAAGGTATAGTAACCTGTGAGAAACCCAGAAGGGGCTGCCGGACATGGTAGAGTGGTGGTGTCGTGAGCAACGATAGGTCCCATTGAGGGGTCAGCCAAGGCAACAGTGAACGAAATGTGCAGTGGCGTGAAAACGGTGCAGTCGTGAAAGAAATAGCTGGACGCTCCTGAGTCTGGGGTGAAGGAAAGCTGTGCAGTCGGTAAGGTCGCACCCGAGCCAGCGACAAAGGCTGGTACTAGACTAATTTTAGCTGCAGCTTCTACACAAAGAACCTCAGAGGCGCCTAGACCAGAAAGTGCACACGAACCAAGACTAGAAACACACGTCTCTACTCGTGCAGGTATGTCAGACTCAACTGGCGCAATAGTGCTTTAGCGAAGATGGGAAGGCCAGTGTGGTGTAACAGCGTTAAGACCGAAACGCTCACGGTGAAGGTTGTGTTGTTCAGGATCCGTCACTTCGAGAACTTACGACGAACTCATTTCTTAACTAAATGCAAATCCGCTCAGTAAGATGTTGCGCCTTAGGCTTAGCTACCATCTCCAATTTGAATCACTTAAAAAGATGGTCTATAGAGTGAGAACCATATGAAAACGTCCAGCTGCTGCATGACTAGAGTGGTGGAGGAAGTACAAGCATTAAGGCATAGAAAGTTTGGTGTTGGGGACTCCAAGAGAACCATGAGAGGGAAGGGGTTCTCCAAGAGCTAGGGAAGGATGGTAGGAACCTTCCTAGCAGCAAGGATGCAACCCTCATCATGAGGTCCTTGAGGTGTCACATGCAAAATCCAATCTAGTTGGATTTTGCCTAGGTGTTGCAACATTTGCAACCCATGCTAGAAACTTCTAGCCACCCCAATCCAAAAGTCAAAGTTGCCTTCCTAACCACCCAACCAAAGATCCCTTTATAGTCATGTCCCAATAACCGCCCAAATTAGATATAACCCGACAAGGTAATAAGAAATCCAAATCTTGGAAATCTTGTAACTTGGGCGATCTTGGTCGGAATAAGGCGATCTTGGTATCGTTGGAAAGCTCTGGATTTCTCCTGCATGATCAAGCATGTAGACTTGGAGAAAAACACAGAGATGGTAAAATCCAACAGCCATGCACAATGACATATGCTCATGCAAATCATGCAAGCACAAATAGCACGAACACTAAGCAGGACGTTAGGATGACATGCACTCAGAATGACGTGCATCCAACAAACTCCCCCTCAGACTAACGGACTGCATGCACACACACTGACACGCATGCAAACAC